TGGAGAACAGATCGGTCCCAATGAAACCGTTCAAACACTGGAGAACAGATTTGTCCCAATGAAACCATCCAAATGTTAGAAAACGGATTTGTCCCAATGAAACCATCCAAACACTAGAGAACAGATCTTTCCTAATGAAACCCACCAGGATACTGGAGAACAGAGATGTCCCAATGAAACCGTCAAAACACCGGAGAAAAGACCTGTCCCGATGAAACCCTCCAGGATACTGAAGAACAGATTTGTCCGAATGAAATCCTCCAGGATACTGGACAACAGATCTGTCCCAATGAAACCATCCAAACACTGGAGAACAGATTTTTCCCAATGAAACCCTCCAGGATACTGGAGAACAGATTTGTCCCAGTGAAACCATCCAAACACTAGAGAACAGATTTATCCCAATGGAACTCTCTAGGACACTAGAGAACAGATTTGTTCCAAAAAGACCCTCCAGGACACTAGAGAACATATATCTGTCCCAATGAAACCATCCAGGACACTAGAGAACAGATTTGTCACAATGACACCCTCTAGGACACTAGAGAACAGATTTGTCCCAATGAAATCATCCAAACACTGGAGAACAGATATGCCCCAATGAAACCATCCAAACACTGGAGAACAGATCGTTCCTAATGAAACGCACCTGGATACTGGAGAACAGAGATGTCCCAATGAAACCGTCCAAACACCGGAGAACAGACCTGTCTCGATGAAACCCTCCAGGATACTGAAGAACAGATTTGTCCGAATGAAATCCTCCAGGATACTGGAGCACAGATCTGTCCCAATGAAACCATCCAAACACTGGAGAACAGATTTGTCCCAATGAAACACTCCAGGATACTGGAGAACAGATTTGTCCCAATGAAACCATCCAAACACTAGAGAACAGATTTATCCCAATGAAACCCTCTAGGACACAAGAGAACAGATTTGTCCCAATGAAACCATCCAAACACTGGAGAACAGATTTGTCCCAATGAAACCCTCCAGGATACTGGAGAACAGATTTGTCCCAATGAAACCATCCAAACACTAGAGAACAGATGTATCCCAATGAAACCCTCTAGGACACTAGAGAACAGACTTGTCCCAATGAAACCATCCAAACACTTGAGAACAGATTTGTCCCAATGAAACCCTCCAGGATACTGGAGAACAGATTTGTCCCAACGAAACCATCCAAACACTAGAGAACAGATTTATCCCAATGAAACCCTCTAGGACACTAGAGAACAGATTTGTTCCAATAAAACCCTCCAGGACACTAGAGAACATATATCTGTCCCAATGAAACCATCCAGGACACTAGAGACAGATTTGTCCCAATGACACCCTCTAGGACACTAGAGAACAGATTTGTCCCAATGAAACCCTCCAGGACACTAGAGAACAGATTTGTCCCAATGAAATCCTCCAGGACACTAGAGAACAGATTTGTCCCAATGACACCCTCTAGGACACTAGAGAACAGATTTGTCCCAATGAAATCCTCAGGACACTAGAGAACAGATTTGTCCCAATGACACCCTCTAGGACACTAGAGAACAGATCTGTCCCAACGGCACCCTCTAGGACACTAGAGAACAGATCTGTCCCAATGACACCCTCCAGGACACCAGAGAACAGATTTGTCCCAATGAAACCCTCCAGGACACTAGAGAACAGATTTGTCCCAATGACACCCTCTAGGACACTAGAGAACAGATCTGTCCCAATGACACCCTCTAGGACACTAGAGAACAGATCTGTCCCAATGACACCCTCTAGGACACTACGTGTAAGTGATGTCTCAATGACAGACTCATTATGACATCATTGCTACAGACAGAACAGTGATTGATAGGTTTGTGACAGAGTGATAATGATCTGACAAGGTATATATTAATGTAGATATAGGAATGGATGTCACCTAATCAGGAGCAATCTCTGTTTCTATGACAACAATCGAGCCAATCAGATTGATTTATAACAGAAGCCTTGAGGCACAATTGCGGTACGATCGCAGTATGTACAAAAAAATGGCTTATAAACTGACTACAGTTACACAAGTTTGTATTCACAGGAATGTGAAAACTGCTGCCTTAAGCACTAAACACATGCTGTAACATTAATAAAATCTAGCTACTTAAATTAATGACAAAAAGTCCATTTATTTTAAATGTAATTAGAACCATTTCTCTGCAACTTCCTGCAGTATAAATTGACAGATAGTACAAGCCCTGGGCGTTATGAGTGGTTGATCCCATCAGATTGAGTGTAACTTCACCAAGAGAAAGGCCTTATCAATAAAAAAAATCTGTTACCATGGAAACTGTTTCCTGATACAAACTGCTTTAATATTTCCATGTCAAAATATTTTTACCTGTATTTGTTTATATTCAAGTGCACTGCATGAGATATTTATCTCATTTTTTGCATTTTTTGGTTTTTTAAATGATGTATTTTTTCTATAGCATCCTTTTCTCCCAAATAAAACATAAAGTGAGGCCTGATAGTTGTAAACCTCATTTGTTCAAAGACCCATCAGCTCAATCAACAGCATCAGCTTTAGTTTTAAACCAATTGAAATTTTAACTGAAAAGCCATTATAAAGGGGATAATCATAATTGACTTGCACTTATTAGCTCATTTACCCCTGAAATTTCATAATGAGCTATTCCAACCTTTGAATTGGAGGAGTTCAAATGTGTTTTCAGGGGTGCATGACATAATACAAATTTCAGTTCTGACTTTCAAAGCTGACAATGCTATAAACAAAATTTGACTAATTTCATTGCCATAACAGTGTAGTATTGAGGGCTGTACCAGACCCCACATTAATAAAAATTTCATATTTACAAAACATAAAACTACACAATAAAAATCCCTTCAAACAAATTCCACTAGTGCAAACAGGAGATGGATTTAAACTCAGAATGGCCAACAAAGGACAACTTATTATATGATATTCAATCAAAGTTCAATTGTTTTTGCTGTTTTCAATTATTAATCCATCAATGATAAAATTCTGGAGCAGTTTCAGGGAATCAAAGAGGGGATAAGCTGTGAGCATTTCACCATGACACGAGATGGGACTGTTCCTAGACATGGCTGATTACCGTAATCCACCCCGAGACAGCAGTCGTAAAAATACAGTATTTATAATACCCAGTATTCTCTTTGAAGGAGAGTGCAGCATACTTATAGACAAGAGATTTGTTTTTACTATTTGGCAGACATATATACATATTTGTATAACAGTAAATGTTTGAAGGACCAGTAGGGACACTTTGAAGGACCAGTAGGGACACTTTGAAGGACCAGTAGGGACACTTTGAAGGACCAGTAGGGACTCTGACATTACAACCTAGATTTTATTATATTTATTTCAATATTTCTAACGCTGTTGTTGAAAACTGTCGTGACCCATTCATCCCTAAAGTCACATTTGAACCATACCAGATCAAAGACTGGGCAAGTCCAGTTCAAATATGTAGGGGTGAATGAGTTAAGTTGAGATTGTTTCTCACCAAAGTTTGGGTTTACACCAGCCATCTTCAATAAAATCTTGAATATAATGTTTAAAACATGTATATGCTAGATTGCATGTCAGAAGTTATTTGTTGCTGTTTCTTATCTGGGTCAAAAGATATACCATACTGCACGTAATATACCTGAGAAAACCTCCATTATTTTGTTCTATATTTAGTGAAAAGATTTCTGCTCGACAACCAAGTAATACAAGAAGAGCATCGTGTCAGAAGGTGTAGGCCACAGGTTAAATCTCAGTTATACCAGAGACATGACTATTGTATCTGTTAATGCTCTCCTGCCTTGCTCTCACCATCATCAGGTTAAGACACAAAGACTGTTGGATGGAAATGGAAAAAAGTATACCCATGTCTTGTATTCCCCTCAGAACACACAACATTTGCTCATCATGGCAAACTCAGAAAGCTCATAAGAGTAAATGAGGGCTGAATATTAACTACCGTAATGCGTGATTAGCGCCCCTGCCCCTATAAGCGCCCCTCCCCCTTCCTCCGGAGTTATTGAAATTATATAGGTGCTATTTTTGCAGGCGTTTCATTTTCGTGATTTTAGTGGTAACAATGTTCAATAACAAACTAATCTATCCCTACTGGAGCACTATGTACCATGTTCACTAGACTTGAAATAGGGGGGGAGGGGGGGTACATGAAATTGACCAATTAAGCAAATCCGAAGTAGGGGCAGTGAAATAAAAAGACTTAACAGTAAATTTCATGATACAGTTGAACATATCAACAGTCATGGACGTTAGTTCAGACACTAGACAATAAGTCAATATGTTGCTGGCTGTAGTCAGAGTGACAGTATCAGCTTCCCCATCCTATTGTATCACCTACATCTGTGTAGGCCTGACTATACCACACAATGTACAGAAACATCTGATGTTTTACGGGACAACATGACTAACATAAATATCCCCTATACCAATGTATCTCTATTGTCTTGCTTCTCCAACCCCTTCAATGAGGAAGGCTTGCTTTCCAGATGTTCTTATTATCGTAAAATAAGATTCTGGTAACAATTTCTGTTTTATAGAACTTGACTCTTTATAATCCTTCCTTTTTAGGCAAAAAAGCAATTTGTGGAAATTGACAAAACTGTACTATCACCCATTACAACTCACTCCAACAGATGCCCTGGAGAGCTCTGAGCCTCTCACTGCTTAACACCTAGTGGAATACTGAGAGACTTGACTATGACTGAACACTGGAATTCCTACGACATTTAAATTCCTAGTCCAACATTTTACAATTAATAAAGGTTACCAACATGATTTTAAAATTTTACAAAAGATTTGAAGATAACAAAAAAGTTTGTAACTATCAAAAGATTATATTTTATTACTAACTTTGTCTTAATGATTTTGTACAATCTTTGTAACTATTGTTATAATTATTACACGTGGGACAAGGAAGCAGAATATTTCATTATCACTTGGACGGATTGTCCCATTGCCATACCTGGTAATATAGCGATGCCAGATTTGAGCAGGTCGTAGTGGACGTCCAGTATGGTCTGGGGTACGTCCAGTGTGCGGTGATGACAGAATCCCGGGCTACGTGGACTGGTCAATCCATCATTTACACCACTCCCTTGATGTCCAGATCCTGGAGGAACCGCATGTGGGACCCCATCTACAACACACAGCAAGATATAGAAGTGTCTCAAGTTGATCTTGTAGCTCAAAGGTCTTAGTTATAAGAAAGCTTATTGCGAATATATATAATATATTGGAGCTGATTTTTTATAAAACATTTTTTTACAGGGATTCTAAAATATTGTTGGTATGCACACAAAAACATTAAAAATCTAAAGTCAGTCTCAGAACTCAAAATTGCTCTGTTTGTTTTCATGTGTGGTATTTCTCAAACAAGACGAAATAATCAAATCTCTATTTACTCTTTAGCGGAGAAAAAATAATACTCTAAGACTGTAGTATGATAGATATACTAACACACTGTTAAAGATTGGTCACATCTTTAGTTTATCATCAAGTATCACATTTTTATGTAGATTATCTATTTTTTTCAAAATGAATAAAAAAAGGAGCTATAATTTTCGGGTTCATTTTTTCATACCTGACAAGAAAACAGAGAATAAACAACATGAACTAACATTCTAAAAACAAAATTTCACAATCTATCATGAACCTTGATACATTTCAACTTGCAAGCAATAATGCTTGTTCTCTGTGGCCGTGAATTAATTTGATCGTACTGTAGATATTACCCTGGGCTGAGTCCAACCTTGGCTTAAAAATACATTAAGGGACATTTACCCACAAAAACTCCTATACTACACAAAAACCTGTAACCCAGGTGTTTCAGGTGTCTCGCTCATCAAGGTAAGTTTGGTAAGTGACCCCAGAACAATGACGTTTTGTGAACAACTTTATCTCTCTCGGCATCTGTCACAATATTCCAGGGTTTTACATTAAACAAGGCGAACAAAACGTGGCCTAGTTTTTTGTGTTACATTATGTGACTTATCTCACGACTGTCAATGACACAAAGTTCATGTCTGTATAACACCATAGATCCCAATGTTATAAACATACAAAATAAACTAAAGGTTATATCCCAAGGGGTCAATGCACTTAGAAATAAACTTCAAAATGAGTGTGGGAAGAGGGGGTTAATATGGGGGGTGGGGGGTGGGGGGGGAGTTGAGATGTTTTGTTTTTGAAAAAGGGGTCAAGCCCAGTATGGATGGTATGTAGGTGCAGTCATTTTTCCATTTAAAGGGGGCTCAGATTTAGAAGGAAGAGTGTCACAAAGGGGCTTAACTAATGTGGGTGAGGGTGGGGATGGGGATGTATAGTTTACAGCCAGTATGCTGTACCATCATGTTTAGCGATTTTTCTATCAATAGAGAACAGCATGTTACCTGTACATGTAGGCATTCTGATCAATTATGAACTAATGAATATTACAAATCATTCTTTCCAGATGTTACTGGCAGTATACGGCTGGTAGTTGTGGCACACTGTGTATTAATAACCTGTACGTACTGGCAGGTACCTTTACTATACCTAAGGAGAAGGTCTACACTGTCCAATACCTATATATGTGTCCCAATACCTTTATACCTTACATATATGTGTCCCGATACCTTTATACCTTACATATACGAGTCCCGATACCTATATGTGCCCGGATACCTATATACTGCCAAACTGAGAATGTGTTTGTGTAAGGATTAGCCTAGTAAAGCTATCAGAGATTTAACTTCAACGCTGGGAGACATATAATATTATGATATATCATCATGCGTCATTGAAGAACCTGTTGAGGGCAGGTTTTGATCTTAACACCCTATTTCACCGTTATGTAAGTGATATTTAATTGATGGCGGTACCAAGAGCTATAAAGACAGAGATGCCACATACACAATTGGTAAATACAATAAGCCTGCAGGGCCTGAAGTCACCCTCTGGCCATGAATCAATATCTCCTACTCCATATCAATCACCTGTCACCAGTCCTGTGTGCAGGTTTTTATTGTTCAAAAAATATTGTCATCATTGAATACAAACACAAAAGAAACCTTTCTGGTCTCTTAGCTAGGATATCAAAAAAGAAATGACAACTTATTTCACCGTGTAACAGATCAACTTTTCTACTTATAGGAAATGACTGACATAAAATAATTGAACAAAGCCTTTCATACACTGACTCAAAAGGAAATTGTTGTCTAAAATAAGGGTATGTTAACATTTTGATCAATAATATATCTAATATTTAGAATATTCACATTACCATGTTACAAATAACGTTCAGGAGATCTAAAGTGCCATCAAATCTTTGGAACATTTACTTCAGTCTAGATGTAGTACAAAGGGTTGAATGCCAGAGAACTATATTACAATTGGCAATATGATTTCTGTATCTTTAATATGAAAACAGTTAAGCAAAGATTAAATTACCAGGGACCACACTGGTCAGCTGATGGTAGAAACATCAGCAGATTCCATTAAAAACATCTGTCGGAAGTGACAGGGCATGCTTTTAGATAACATATCAAAACAGATCGTGACAGAGTTACGATGGATAAGATTAGCCATGCACAACCAAAAACTCATCAAACATGTGCTTAACATGGTTTATGTATATACAGTGTAATAACAGACACATCTCCCCCCTCCCTTACCCCCTAAACATCTCCACCCCCTCCCTTACCTCCTACACATCCCCCTTCCCTTCCTCCCTAAACAGCTCCACCTCCTCCCTTCCCCCTAAACATCACCACCCTTTCCCTTACCTCCTACACATCTCCACCCTTCCCTTACCCCCTAAACTTCTCCACCCTCTCCCTTACCCCCTAAACATATCCACCCCCTCCCTTACCTCCTGCTCATCTCCCACCCCTTCCTTCACCCTAAACATCNCCCCCCCCACCACCAACCTCATATTCTTCACATCTCTCTCCCAATCCCTTCTCATCCTTCAATCTTCCTTCCTGCTTACCCATATATCAAACTGGCACCTGGGCCCAACACGAACTGTACACCCCTGTAATTCTACCAAGAGCTCAAGAGGGTAAAGACACTCCCTTCCTAAACTGTATCTGTACAGGAACATTTCAATACAGTTACTTTCTGGTTATCATAGTAACACAATACCGTGTTTTACATCATATTCATTTAACAATTTGCCATGTAATATCATTGTAACTGATGTACACCAATATGCACATGCATGCTTACCCAGGTTTAGTGAGGGTGGACGTATTCTAGTATTATTACACTTATCACTGGCCTGTGCACGAAGGACATCACAACTTTTACACCTTCCCCGATCCAAGGATTTTAATTTCGAAGTACTCATTTCACATGCTGTAGATTTTAAATCCAAGGTATCAATTCCACGATCTGAGAATTTAATTTCCGATGCACCGATTTCATTGGATGAAGTATGAATCGCACTAGTACTGAATGATTTATATTTTCCGGTTACAATAGGAACACAAAACATTGGACATTCTGACAAACTTTCCGTAAATCCCTTTAATCCTTCGGAGAATAAGTAGACACGATTTCTATCCTTGCGATCTGTTGAAGCTGGTTCCAAAGGATGTTGAGGCGGTTCCATATAAATGTTGTCCTCCGATTCCAAACTCGTAGTCAGTGAGCTCCCCTGAGAGGAGTTATCTCTCCTAAGCGTGGACACACAGTCGCAGAACGATTCATCCGTACTCTGTTTCCCCTCACTTTGACTGTCTAGGTGTTGACCCCCAGACTCTTTGCTGGCTGCCTCATCCAGTCCCAGGGATTCAGCAGATGCGGATGAGACTGATAAATCTGTGGAGGATGGGTCCGGCGTATAATATTTATCTAATGAGTAGAGGTCATCATATTCGTCACAGCAAGTTTCTAGTTTACTACTGTCTTCGTCTTCATCGCAGGAGTCTAAGTCTAAAGTGACCAGACCAACTGAAGGACTGTTCAAAGTGACCACACCAGTCGTTGGGCTGTCAATCAAAAATCTTGACTGATCAATCACAGGTGTACAATCTTCACTGGCAATTGGGGTCACCGAGTCCTCGTCCAGGTAACATTCCTGGTCTGGGGCCAAAGGACTGTGGGCCCCTGCTCGGGACAGCTCCCTATAATAACACACATTAACTGAAGATTTAAGGCCCAGGGGACTTTCTGTCTCCTGGTCCCTTATATCATTATTGACACTCAGAGGGCTGGTTAACCCTGACCCTTTTTGGCAGTCAGCTGTTTTCCTGTCTGTTTGATCAGAGGGTCTATCACCTGGTCCCTGTGGACTCACGTTAGTTGTTTCTCCGTCTCTATCAGCCTGGAGAATGGCGGCTTCCCTACCAATTCCCTCCATCATTGTATGATTTGTTTACCAGACATTGTGATGAGTGAAGCCTACATAAACACAGGTGATTAATGTCCTTGTGACTTCAGGCTGACCATTAGATGACCATCTAGTGGACATCTTTATGTGGTCAGTCCACAATACCTTTATCAACAACAGGAAGTCTCTTACTATTGCAGTGCCTTACAAATTGTGTCTGGGTACCCCCACTGGTCATCATTTAGTCATGAACAGCCAGGTAGCACCCTCACACCTTAAACCAAACACAAATCTTACAACTTGACCCAGGAAATAATCCAAGGATAAATTCATCGGAGAATTAACGCTTGTGTTAATCACTGGGTACATTTATCCTGTATTAGCCTCACAAGTAATCCTCTGTGAGTATATGGGGCTATATATGGATAAATTACATCAGAGGTTTAGCCAGCCTGGCTGGAGTGTTTGCCTACAATTCTCTAGGCCTTGGCTGTGTGTTAGCTCCATGTCAATACCATGTGAGCTCTCAGTCTTGTTTTGACATACACAGCAAATTACCAATGAACATCCTCATACAGGAAGGCAGTGGCTCCAATCCAGGATAATCAAAGCGAGCACTAATATTCCGAGTTGTTTCTAATGTTGAAAAAAAACCTAAGTGCCAATAATGACCGTGCAGAGTTGTTCGTAATGTTGATACAAGCACCAATAGGCAGAGTCATTCCTGATGTCCTTAGGAGAGCTATGAAAAATGTACCTACACCATTTAAATGCCACACACTAGCCTTGTATCTGTTCTGGTGATGGTCCAGCCAATGGTCTGGTCACATTCACAGATCACCCGCTGTAGGCTTGCCATTGATTACTGAAAACATCTTTATCCCTAATATTAAATCTTCTCCCCGCGTCTCCGATCCTCAATAGCAATAATAATATGATATTCAAATAAATTCTATTTATAGACTGTAGTATTTTCCAGTTGAATTGTATTGAAACTTTGCCATTGATTGGCTGCGGAACACACAGATGATAATAACACAGTATGTGTGTTGGGTACGCAGTAACAGTTGTACGATATATTTATCCTGGGTCCTATGTTTACATTGTAGTGTTAATCTGTCCTACGTCCTACATTTATCCTGTATAAACCCTTCAGTAACAGTTATGAGGTATGAATATGTCCCACTGGTCCTTCGTTTAGTCTGTGGTATCCTAAGTTGAGGCAAACCTTTGTGAACTGAGTCTGTGGTACCTCTCTAGAACCTGGCCTAGGGCACTGCTCACATTACTGTATTTTCCCCCCTAAAAATCCATTAAATATGCATCAAATTTTCTTATTTAGTGAAAAATATATCAGAAATGGAAAACTAAAGGAAAATCTACTTCCTTCACGTAAAATGTTTTCAGTGTGAATGGTATGATCAAAACCTTTTTTCACATAAATACTGTAGCAGAAATTACAATGATCGAGTCCAATCAATATATGCTTCGGTAAGACTTTTGAGTCCAGATTTCCATGCAAGCTACACTTGAGGGCATTGAAGTATTATGTGCAAGCAGCAGCAGCTTTGTCAATGATCGAGTAAATGTTCCCACGATTTATATCCAGTCTTCTGATATAAAGTCTTCTCAAGTTCTGTTATCATTCTGGACATAGTCTTGTCAAATACTAACAAGATGGACACTATCAACTTCAGTATTAATTAACTGGACACTTTCCACTCCATAAAGTTTAATGCTGTAGACATTGTCCTCTCCAGAAGTTTAATTCTCTGGACACTGTGCACTCCAAAAGTTTAATTCTCTGGACACTGTGCACTCCAAAAGTTTAATTCTCACGACACATCTCCAGCAGTTTAACGTTCTGGACACTGTCCTGCCCTATAGGTATTTAACATTAAGTTCTGAGTGTATTTTCACCACTCTTTCCTCTCCTGATCCAGTATTTGGTCTACACACTAGTCCTCCAGTACCAACACTGGACACTCCCTAGTATTAAACACGCTGGCCAGTATTGTAACTTGGAGGACATTGACCACTGCTGGGCTGCTGTCTGACTGTCCACTGGAGCCTGTCCTCATTGATATCCTGTAGCACTATGTAATGTGACCTTTACGTCCCTCAATCTATTGCCCATGTGGTCATGCATGTCCTGACATAGAGACCAAGTCTAAACCTTCCTCCTGGGACGGTCTGGTCCTAACTCTCCCTCCACCACTTATCAGTTGGCTGTTTAGTGTCCAACCACTGACCCCTACTGTCCAGTTCTGACCCTGCTAGCTAGGCTCCCTGACATAGGACTGGCTGTATGGGGAAGGTTCCGCTCACTATGCACTGGGTCCCCAGCTGTCTGAAGCGTGCACTGCAGATTTACCATGTGTGAGGGAACAATACCCATCAAAGGGGGGATGTGTCAAAACTAAACTGTTTGCTACACAGACATTTGTGTTACTGACATCCCTTCCAGCAAGGTCTGCATGACAAGTCAATGCTGCATGTACGATTTTACATAAATTAACTGAGAAAAGAACATTTTCCAGTTAGGTGAGCCACTACTGCACATCAGGTATTGATCTGGTGAGTTTCCCTCCATCACCAGATATAATGTTGGGGGATAACTATTGTTATATCCTAAAGTCTAACTTCCCCACCATCATCTGGCTTTGTTGGGGAGTGACAATTATAGTCATACAGTCAATTCTGAGATGGTGCACATCACTGTAACCAAATAATGGCCCGGTAAACAATCAAGATTCTGGGGCCTTAAGTTTTCAGAGCTAGGGCAGCTTAATGAATCTGTAACTATTTTGTTAAATGTCATTGAACATATATATAAAAATGGCATTTTTCTTTTTGTTCACATATTTATATGAAATCCCACAGTGTATCTCTTTTTCAGACATAAATTTCCAAAATGTTTAAAAAACTGAAGTTTGTTAACTAGTTGCTAAACTAACAAGGCGCAAAATGCAACTTGACGAAGATAGAGATCATCAAATATTTAGTTGTGTGAGAGTCTACCTGTGTTTCTTGAGTAGGGAATATTACCTGTAATGTTTAAGGTAAGTTATACTACAAGTAATCTATGCCCAATTACTATGTCCCATTATGATATAGTCGTAAGAATTTTAATACTATAACAAAATCTGTTAGGTAGGGATACAAGGTAAGTTATTACAATCAGACATGCTACACAAAGATATCTAAAATGTTGTGAAAAACTTTATCTGATTTTTTATTCTGGTCACTTATACCCAAAGTCGTCATATTTATAGAAAAAAAACCACATTATCTCCAATATTAAAAATAAAGCTGATGGAAGTTACGATACTTGTGTCTATACCTGAACCATGTATACCGCCCCCCCC